AGGACATCCATATTTTTGTTTAGTCAACTTTTAAAAATATTTTTTAAAATACATTTTCCTGTTCATCTTTTAGATCATTTTGTGCCTCTTTATTGTTACCATTACTGGCATCTTTGAGGAAGGCCAAAGTTTACTCATCTGAAAGTTTATCTAGCTTTATCACCCAAGCAAACAGACTGCTCTTTACCACCGTCTAACCTCAACCCTGTGTCCCACCATCAAAGCATTAGATTAAGCCAAAAAACATTTTCTGGAAGGGCTAGAGAGTAAATATTTTAGGTTTCGTAGACCATATAATGTGTTACAATACTCACCTTTTCTACTATAGCATAAAAACCGTAGCCCATATATAAACAAATGGGTGAGACTGTGTTCCAAGAAAAGTATTCTTAAAAATAAGCCCTGTTTGACTTGGAAGCTGTCATTTGTTGACCCTTAATATAATCATTATTTATATGCCTGTAATTATGTACCAGAAAATGTTGTAAGGCGCACTGATAAGAGACATATTAATGTCTTTCTCCTCTCGTGTACTTACGGGTGTACAATGCCCAGCTTTGTATGTGTCTACCATGTGAGAAAATACAGATGAAGAAATAAGTATAGCAGGTGCCTCAAAATATTGTCAATGAAAGTCAGTTTGGCACTGAACAGGGAACATCCTTTTGAAAGGCCAGTAATGTTTAATGGAAAACTTCAGGGTGCAGGACCCCTGCCCTCACACATGTGGTAGTAACGTTTTCCATCTAGCATACTATGGACCATATTCTGATCTTGCTATTTGAGGAATGCTGAATGAGCCTGTCACTAGCAAAATAAAAGAAAGAAACACAAAACAGATGTGGCAATAGACATTTCAGTATAAAATTTATGGGAGACCTAAGGATTCTACTCTCACACAGTTACATCATCATCAGGAAATCCATAGTTCAGAGTTTGTCATGTAAGTAGAGAAAATATATAAATGTGTTGTTTACGTTTATATTGATCATTTTTCCTTTTGCCATTTCTTCTGGTGCTTATTATTTTAAGAAACTCTTTTTCCTTTATGTCTGATAATCACACCTTTCTCTCCCAGTCTGTCTAACAATGTCATCTGTTGGTATTTGTGCAATTAATGCTAAATAAAGACATTGATATATATATTCTTTTGATGCCATGTCATATTGATTGAAAATTTTTCTCCACACTTCTCTACTTTATGATGGAGTCACAGTGTATCAGCACAATCCAAAGACAAATTTGCCTTTCAAAAAGGCTGAAAAAACTGTTGTTAATTATGAGTAACTGAAAGATGTAATGGCCTGTGACTGGTTTAGTATATTTATTGTTTCATGTGAGCTTCAGCACTGTTGAATAAGCTTTAAAGAAACTGAAACAAAAAGGAAAAGTGAAAAGACAGCATACCAAAACTTAGAAGATGCAGCAAAAGTGATTATTAGAGGGAAATTTATAGTTGTGAAATAACTACATTGAAAAAGAAGCAGGCCACCCAGGTGTACTGATGTATACTTGTAATCCCAGCTACTCAGAAGGCTGACTGAGGCAGGACAATTGCAAATTGAAGGCCAGGCTGGCCAAGCCCCATCTCAAGAAAAAAGAAAAAAAATACAAGCTCTCAAATCAGTAAACTAACTTTGCAGTTTAAGAAACTAGAAAAAAGAACAACAAACTAAACTGAAAACCAGCAAAAGAAATGAATCCATAAAAATTGGAACAGAAATAAACAAGATAGAGAATAGAAAACAATACAAAAAAATCAACAAAATCAAAAGTTAGTCCTTAGTCGAACATGGTAGCCCATGCCTGTAATCCCAGCACTCAGGAGGCTGAGGCAGGAGGATCATGAGTCTAAACATAGACTGGGCCAATTAGCAAGATCCTGTCTAAGAAAAGAAAGGAGAGGGGGAAAGGGGAGGGGAGGAGAGGAGAGGAAGCTAAATTGAATAAGAAAAAAAGATCAAAATCAGACTACTAAAATCACAAACGAAAATGAGTGACATTACTACTGACTTTACAGAAATAAAGCAGATAGGTGATTACCATGATCAATTGTATGCCAACAAACACATAATCTAGATGAAATGGACAGATTCCTAGAAACACACATCAAAATTGTCTCAGGAAGAAATAGGAAGTCTAAAACAGAGCCAAAACAAGTAAAGAGATCAAAGTCTATTAATAAAAATTCTCCCAATGAAGAAAAACCCAGGACCAGATGGTTCTCTAGTGAATTTACTAATCACTTAAAGCAGAAATAGGGACCATTCTTCTCAAACACTTTCTAACTCAGAAAGATTATGTACCGTGAATGAAATGTGCATTTCATTCCAGAAATGTATGGCTATGTCAACATATAAAAATTGAGCACATTAGTAGAGTGAAAGAGAGACCCTACACAATCTTTTCAATTGATACACCACCCCAAAAAAAAAAAAATTGGCACAAATCTAGTACCCTTTCATGATTTAAAAAAAAAAAAATTTAACATGCTAAGAGTAGAAGGGAACTCCTTCAACTTGATAATGGTCATTTGTGAAAAACCCACAACTGGTAGCATACTCAACAGTAACAGTGGGAAAGCTCTCCCCTGAGATCAAGAACAAGACATGGTTGTCTGCTTTCACCATCAGTATTCAGCATTGTATTGGAGGTACTAGCTAGAGCATTTAGGTAAGTAAAAGAAATAAAAAGCTTCCAAATTGTAAAACTCCCTATTTGCAGATAATATTAGCTTACATATAGAAATTCCTAAGGAACTTACAATAGCACTATTACAGTGAATAAATGAATTTAATGGAAGTTGTGGGGTAGAAAATCAACAAATAAAAATTAGCTTTATTTTTAGACACAAGTAAAAAACCAAAAATAAAATCAAGAAAATATCTCCATTTATGATAGCATCAATAAAATGGAAGATTTAAACATGAAGTATAGGTCTTGAACACTGGAAAGTACAAAGCATTGCTGACATAAATTAAAGACAACCTAAATAAATGGAAATACACTCAGTATTAATCATTTGAAAGATTTAGTGTTGAATTCTCAAAATGACAGTATTCCCCAAAGCAGTCTACAGATTGCATGCAATTCCTACCACAATTCCAATGATGTCTTTTTGCAGACATGGAAAATCCCATCTTCAGATTTATATGGAATTTTGGGAAAGCCCAAATAATAAAAAGAAGAACAATGTTGGAGGAGTATTCATCATTTTCAATTTCATAACTTACCACAAAGCTACAGTAATCAAAATGATGTGGAACTCACATAAGGTAGATATATAAACCTATGAGATAGAACTGAAAGACCATAATAAACCCAAACATTTTTATGGCTAATTGATGTTCAAAGATTGACAAGACCAGTGAAGAGAGAGGTAGCAGGCTCAATAAATGGTTCTGGATGCTCAATTAAATATCTAGTGCAAAAGAATGAAGTTCGGCTCCTTCTGCACACCATATACAAAAAAGAATTCAGTGTGTACCAAAGACCTAATGTAAGCGCTAAAGCTATATCATTCTTGGGAAAAAATATAGTGCTATATATTTGTGGACAATAGATTCTTAATATGATATAAAAAGAATCAGAAACCAAAAAAAGTCCTCAGCAAAATTGAAAATTTTGTGTATTATTATTAAGAAAAGCAAAAGACATTAGGAAAGAGAGAGCTAGGTATGGTGGTAAACACCTGTAATCCCAACACTCAGGCAGAAGGATCTCAAGTTCAAGGCCAGCCTGGACTACATAGCAAGTGTCTATCCTCTCCCCACTCGCCAAAATATATATGTGTGTGTATACTTGGGATAAAACTCGGTGGTAGAGCATTTGCCTAGTGTGTGCAAGGCCTTGAATTCAATCCCCAACACCACAACAAAAAGAGAAAAGAGGAAACAAAGAAAGTGAAAAAGAAAAAGAAAATTTGCAGAATGAGAGAAAATATTTGTAAATCATGTAGCTGATGACGGTAGTGGAACTCTTAAAATTGAACTGCCAATGCCAGGCATGGGGGTGCATGTCTGTAATACCAGCTACTCAGAAGGCAGAGATTAGAAGGATCATTTTGAGGCCAGCTTGGACTAAAATTTAGTGAGATCCCATCTCAGCCAATAAGCTGTGTATGGTGGCATTTGCCTGTCATCCCAGCTATGTGGGAGACATAGATAAGAGGTTCAAATTATTCAGACAAAAAGGACTGGATGTGTGGCTAAAATGGTAGCATGCCTGCCTAACCAAGTAAGAATTCAAACCCTGGTACTACCCCCAAAAAAATCAACCACCAAAATCTCACCCAGTTTTTTAAAAATGGCAAAGAACTTGAATAGACATTTTTTTCAGAGAAGATAATTCATATGACATTAAGTCGTTGAAAAGGTGTGCAGTCATGTTAGTCACTAGGATAATGCAAATCAAAACATAATAAGTACCATTTCAGCTCACAAAAACAGCTATATTAAGAAATCAAGCAAACAAAATGAGCGTTAGCAAGAAGTGGAGAGGTTGGAATCCAGTACTCTGCTGATAGGAATGGGAATTTATCCAACTGCTGTGGAAAAGAGTTAAGGTATTTCTTTAAAAGGTTACACATAAAATATACCACATGCCCTGGCAATATACACCTAGGCATGCAATAGAGAAGAGTGGTGGAAGGGATGAATTCAAGTATAATGTGTTTGATACTTTGTAAGAACTTTTGTAAATGCCACAGTGTACCCCCACCCAACACAACAATAAAGAATAAAAAAGAAGGGTACTCAAATACTGATACAGGAATATTTGTAGCAGCACGGTCCACAGTTGTCCCAAGCTGGAAATGTGCAGAATATCCATCTGTAGATGAATAGATAAGCAAATTGTGAGATATCCGTACAGTGGAGTATTATTCAGCCTACTGATACATGCTATAAGGTAAACAAACCTCAAAAAGATTAAGTGAAAGAAGCTAGGTGCAAAGGTTACATTTTGTATGATTACATTTATAGGAAATATTTAGAATGCGTAAATCCATAGAGACAGAAGGCATATTGGTGGCCAGGGAGAGGATGAAATGGGGAGTTACTGCTTACAAAGTATGAGTCTGGGGGAGAGGAGGTGTAGGAATGACTGCCTGGTGAGTATATGGTTTCCTTTTGGGGTGATAAGAATGTTCTGGAACCTAGAATAGTGGTGATGGTTATAAACATTATGAATGTATTAAATGCCAGTGATTAAAAACTTTTAAATGGTTAATTTATGTTACATGAATTTCACCTCATTTCAAAAAAAAACAAGCTGAAACATTGAAATGAGAGTTTTTCTTGACTGTTAGAGTGGAGGCAGCAATTAGGAGAGGATGGCTGCTGTCCAAAGTTCTGCTAGTTCTTCCTGAGTAGAGCTGAGGTTTATTTCTCAGCATCTTATGACACTCTGACTAAAAGGACAACTGTGAGGGTGGTGATGGCAGTAAGAAGTATTCAGTATACAGTAGGATATGCGCTAGAGGAGTCACGTCTCTTTACCTGAGAGCATCCTTGCATCCTTTCCAGTTGATTAATCACCATTTCCCTTTGACATGTGTTTCCCTCTCTCACCTTTCACGTCTGTCTGGTCCCCTTTCACGTCTATCTGGTCCCCTTTCATCTCAGCTACCAGAAATCTCGGAGCCAAATTCTGCCAAACTGACCTCATTTGCTTTATGATTAGGGCTGGAGCCACTCTGCCAGCCCTAAACCCACTTCGGAATTTCAGTGAAGCATTTGACAAAGTCTCAATGATGTACCTGAAATATACCTCAGGGCCCTCTCCTCAGACTTCTCATCTTGGTGGATCCCTTTTAATCACATTTTTGATGCCTAGACATTAGGAAGGCTAGCCAATACATTGGACAGACTCAGAATCTGAAAAAGATAGAAATGGTTGATTACTATGGACCAAATAGAACAGGATGAATTTTATCAGATATAAGCATTAAGTCTTAAAGTTGAGGTTAAAAAGCACAAACTGAGTAAGTGTAACATGGAACACATGGTGAACCATGAAGTGTGATTATCCCTGACCTCTCAGCGTGGGTTGTCACAGGCGTTAGCCATGTATCACGCCATATCTGAAGCATCATCCGCCATTGCATTTTACAAGAAACAAACTTAAATCCAGAGACCATGTCAGGATGAGGAGAAAGACACTTTAGCCTGTGCCATGAGATACAAATGAAGAAAGTAGGAGTGGTGGTCTTGAAAATCATGGCACCCTTCAGACAATGAAAACTATCTAAAAGAAAAGGAAGAGGAAAAAAATCAGACTTACCTTATGTGGTCATGAAAACATTCAAGCAAAGACTAGGTGACCACTTGTCAAACATGTTCTTGAATCATGTCATGACAATGTCTTTTAGCCCCAAAACTAATGGATGTCCATAATTATGTAAAAAGTTAAAAAAAAGCAGGCAAGGAAAGGGTGGAGAAAAAGAAAATACAGGCTGAAACCAAGGGTTGACTGCATTCAGAAAGTACTTGCTTTGGGGTGCTTCTAAGTGCAGGGCATTGCTGAGAGTGCTGTGATGGAATGTTCAGATTTGGGTCATTATCAGCAGGCAGATGACTTATTTTCTTGACCTTGTTTTATAGTCTAGTCTCCTGAGACAAGATCTAGGACTTGGGAGCCCAGCACAACTCTCTTCTTCAGGAAAACCTGGAACACCATACTACTCATTCTCTGCCACAAGTTCCAGGAGAAGACCACTCCATGACTCTGTAGCACTGGGTGAGTTCATCACACAGCAAATCCCATCCCATAAACATTTCTTCCCCTTCCCCCCACTCCCCACCCCCGGTCTGCCTGTGCTTTTAATTAGGAGAAATTGAGTTTCTTGGTTATCATGTTGGTATCAGGATTTATATGCATATAAATAACATACAGATTGAGTATCCTTAATCCAAAAATCTTAAATTCAGAATGCTCCAAAATCTGAAATTGTTTGAGTACTGACAAAATAACCACAAATGGACCATTCCACACCTGACCTCACATGATGGGTTGCAGTCAAAGCACAGGCACAGAGCCAGGCCTATAATCCCAAAATCGGGAGGATCCAGAGTTCAAGGCCAGCACAGGTAGTAAGATTCTGTCTCAAAAGAAAGCAGGGGGACAGAGCTCAAGTGGTAAAGCACTTGGCTCAGGTGTGCAAGGCCACATATATAGTCATACTGAAAACATCGCATAAAATTACCTGCAAGCTACATGTATGCAAAATGTACTCACTTCTCGTATGTTGGATGGTTTAGAGTGTGCTTATACTGTCACGTCAGATTTAATGATTTAGATAGGTTTACTGTTTGTTATTAAAGAAATGATAATGGTAAAATGTCCTTCTCCAGCTCCGCTCTTGTTTTCTACCTTGTGAGTTAGGGCAGAAGCATTCATTTCAGTCTAGATATATCACTGTTACTGTAGAAAAATATCTTATTTGAATAGTATGTGAGCAAATACTACAGCAAAAATACTTGTCAATATACTATGAGTAAAAGTTCAAAGGGGGGGAAATCAACTTAAAATAAGTAGAAAAGAATAGATTTCACACAAAAATCTAGGCTTAAATCCAAGATTTCTATAAATTAAAGCTTTTATCTTCTTTGTTTTCATTTTGATTGTGATATAGATAATGTTGATTATCTCCCCTGTTCTGGGTATGGTGCTATACACACTACATCTTTATAAAAACTTTATGGGGTTATAATGTTTACCTCATGTTAGAAATGAGGAACCCAGAGAAGCTAAGTAATTTAGCCAAGGCTGATTGGGGTGAGGGGGGGAGTTTCTTGATGCTCAGGGAGGCCCACTCATCTCCAGCGTGAGTACCATTTAGTGAATTATTATGGCATCATCCACAGTTATTTCTCAGTCTTAGCCACTCCTCTTGGCATTGCAGGTATTAATAAAATCTCAGTGTTTGAAAGAACTTCAGAGGTCTACACCAACCTCAGCATGAAATGTCCTTCATACTGAAAGACATTGTATTGTGCTGATGCCCATATTTCGTCATTTCTGTAACATGTCTTGACATTATTATAATCTTAATTTTTCTTTCCTTAAGCTTTAGCATCTTTTGAAACCATTTAAATGCTTTAGGAAATCAACATTCTACAAAGCAGTATCTAAGTAGGATCCTTTTGCCCCTTACTTGAATATAAACGTAGTAATAGCTAGTGTGCTCAGTGGCATGTTCTGTTAACCACTGACCTGAGCATATTTCGTGTATCATCACACAGTATGGAATACTCAGAAGAGGAGATGTTCACCCCTTTCTTGATGTGGGGGAACTGAAGCTCAAAGAGGTTGAGGTTATCTGCCCTGGCTCAGACAACTGCTGGATGCTGAAGCTGAAATTTGAATACATCCAGCTTACTCTGAACCACAGTTTTCAACCTCGCAGAAGTAAACAGTGAATACCAGGCTCAGGAGTTTTTAATCAGACATTTGGTATGCGATTGTGTAGTGGTAGCTAACGATGAGATACAAAAGAAAAAAAAAAAAAAAAACAATAGACATGGCAAAGAAAAAGCAACTTAGTAAAGACTAAGTAGCAGCATCTTCTGTTAGACTAACCCTGGGATGGGAGTGTTAGGCTCCAAACTGATAGGAATGGTTCAGTTGAAAGTGTGGCCTTTGCTCAAGGAATACTGTTTTAGTTGTGAGGGGTAGGCTATAGAAATGCATCACAACAAACAAAGATTTTGCCTTTAAGTTTTATAAATGTAGAGTATGCCAGATGTTGTTTGTCTTTGGCGCTTCTGTTTTAAGGAAATACAGGCTGCCTCTTGGGGCAGGGACATAGGTGCTAATGAATGCTTTTCCCCCCTTTATTGTATAATATTTTTCCACATGCTCCTTATAAAGTTGCTTTTTTAGCTTTACAGCCTCCTGGGATGCTCACAGTAGAGAACTCCCAGCTCAAATTTAAATGAGTTTCATTCTTTCAAAAACTGCATGTTTTAGTATCATTTATGTTTTAGGAAAAACTATGCTTGCTTAATTCTCATTTTTAGAGTTTTCAAAAATATTGGACTTTACATCAGCCTTCTCATGTGTTTTCTCTCCTAATAGTGAACCCCTCTGAAAATCTAAATTTGATCCATTATTCATGTAAGATTGGGAAGCTGTGCTTATTACTTTATTTTGCAACACATAAGATAGACAAATTTTTAATTCTGTAGATAAATAAAATACTAAGGAAAGCTGGTTAGGCGTATGAAAATACTGATGTTTTTATTTTTATTGACAAACTGTATCTTAGAAATATAATTTCTCTGTCTCGTTGTTCCTAGAAATATATACTCATGGAAAATTATACAGAAGTGCTGAAGTTACAATTTTAATCACACATTACTGAAGTGAATATTCTTAATGCTGAATGCCATTGTGTTATGTCACAGTTTATATAACATGTCTTGGCATAATTATAATCTTAATTTTTCATTCCTTAAGCTTCATATTTTTAGCATAATAAATTATAGCATAGCACTAGTTTTTAGTTATTTTTTTAAATATGTTTTTAAACTTGATGTTTAAAATCCCACTTCTCAGTGTGATACATTGAATTGGTCTGTTAGGGAGGCACATTTTGAACAGGACCTGTTGCACCAAGTGCCTCACTCCCAATGAAACCGAGAAAATGATGTAAAGTACCTACTGTAGCACCTGGCCCATAAAGGTTTTTAAATGTTAATTCTCCTCCCTCATGCATGCTTAGTGGTTTGTGATTTTCTTTCTAGATTTGCTTCATTTGCTATTATCTTCCCAAACTTATGGGATATGCATTTCATAATGTATTACTTTGTTACAAGAGCCCATCTTGTACTGGAACCAGTTAAAAGGAATGAGGCTTCCATTCCTATGTTCTCTGCTTACTCTAAAATTTTAGAAAAAAGAAAGTCAGTAAGGGGAAAAAAATTACCTCCTATTCATTTGAAGTCTGGTATTTCTTTTCTACTGAATTTTTTTCTACTATCGTATATATGCTAATGAAATATATCGCTTTCCATGCACAGATCCTTTGCAAGCAAAGAAAGTCAGAAAGGTACCTCCTGGTCTGCCTTCTTCTGTAAGTACCCCTTTTTTTTTGACCTGATGGTAAATAAGTTGATGTCAAATGCGCAGTGTCTTCTTGCTACAAGGGTACATTTGACATTTGATTGGTGCCAATAGGTATATTTTACATATTAACTGTTCGATGCTTAACAAAATCATTGATTGAGATAAATCCACACTTAATGTTGGGCTTTTAGATTTCTCTGCAATGATTTGTAGCTTACTCATATGCTCTTACTCCATGTCCCTGTCATTTGAATTCCCCTCTTGGGAAGAGGACTAGCCCGGTAGCTGTCAAAGAAGATCTCCTGTACAGGTCTTTTGATGTTTAATTAGTCATTGTGTTGCTGAACAGGAGGACAGACAGAGATTAATAGCTGAGAATCTTAGAAATTTACATTTGTAATAATCCCAATGGAGCTGAAGACATTAAGATTCGGAGGACATGTTCGGCTCAGCTTGCCTCAGTAGGACTGAGGTTATTAATATGCATAAATCACCCAGTCAGATGTTCATTGTGAAACCCTTGTGGATTTTAAAGCCTTCATTAAGCCTTTCCTAACTTCAGCCTAGCATCAGGAAAGCTTTCAAGCAACTAGTTTGTTGATCCCTCTTTGCTCAAAAATGTATCCTTTGAGAATAAAGGGCTTTGATAAAGGAGGTTGGAAAGGTTTGGTGGAATAATCATTAATGGCTGTGATAACCTAATACTTGGGGTGTTTGTGCTGTTTAACATACTTATTCTTTAAAGGAGTACAAGTATTTGTAAATGAACCTACATCATAAATCAACCTACAATTTAAAAATTTCTGGTACCAGGAAGGTCTCCACCCCACCCCCCCCCTTTGCTTAGAACAAATAGGGAGTGAGGCTGTTGGATTGAGGCCCCATGCCTTGTAGGGTTCATCTCTTTGTTGTGCAAATGGATGTTGGGCTTTTATTTGGCAGTCCTTAACACATGGGCGCAGGTGCGGCAGGATGAGTCACAGCTCATCGAAGTATAGACTGAATAGAATATCCGGCTTGGCAAGTAGTAATCTAGAAGGAGCAGCCTGGGTCTGAGCTTTTAGGTTTTTTTTTATTAAGGCTAAAGTAGAGATACCATCTTCTTGGTTGCTTGCCTTCCTTCGTTCCTATGTTCTTCCCCCCACCCCCGCCTTCTCTTCCACGTGATACATGAAAAGTCAAATTTGAAATCCTCTTTGAAACTCAGTTCCAGATGGATCTGAGTTTTATGCAGCCGAGGGCAGCTGTGCTCTGAACCTGCAGCCTACCTGGAAGGTTGGATTGCAGCTGCAGGCATTCTTAAAAGCTTTTGCTTGCCTAAGCACTTGGGCCCACTAGAGGCTGAATAGCTGCTTGATAAACAAAATGAACACAATGCCTCAAGTCATTATTCCCAAAGACAGGAATATTTTTTCCTGCAGCAGCTAAAAATAGTTGTGCAATTTACATTTTAACAGTTGTGTGCTGTGCAAGGGTAGGTGGCTCTACAGCATAACAAATGATTTCTGTTTGATTTTTGTTAGACTGACAGAAATCATACTAAAACTGTAGAGCTGCTACTTATAACTGAAATTTCTTAATATATTACTATAATTCTATGAGAGTAATAGAAGTTAACTACATACTAATACTAGTAGAACTGCACAGGTTAAAAAACAGATTAGTAAGTGAAAAATTCTCCTCATTTCTTCCTTATCTGACATTAATTCTGCCAAACAATCTATTCTCAGTTCTTCCATAGTTCCTTCATTTTTAAAACAAAAGGACAAAATGGACAGAACAACACCTGGGAAGAGACACTGGGACTCACCAGTTCCTTTACATTCCTAATCATAGTAGTTCTCTGTATTGTCTCCAGTATTCAGAAAAGGAAAAGCCTCCCAATTTTGATGAAACCTTGAGAACCACGAGAAAATTTTGTAAGCCAAGCCTACGTATTGCATTTTTTCTAGCTCCCTTAATACACACTGAATGTTATTAAGAATACATAAATAAGACTGGATGTGTTGGTACACACCTGTAATTCTATCACTTAGGAAACTGAGGCAGGAAGGTTGCAAGTTTGAGTCCAGCCTGGGCTACATAAAGAGTTCATGGCCAGCCTGGGCTACATAAAGAGACCTTGTCTGGAAAAAATGAAACAGAAAGCCTGGGATATAGCTCAGTAGTAGAACGCTTGCCTAGCATGTCCAAGTCCCTGAGTTCGATTTCCAGCACTGAAGGAAAAAAATACATACACACACACACACAAACACACAATTTAATTCATTAGAATTCAATTTAATTCAGTAAATTCAATAAGGTGTATTTTAGATTAAATGCTATGTTGAGGTTTTTTAAAGGGAAAAATAAAATTTTAAGTAGATACTTTGACAAATACTAGCAGATAAACTTCTGAGAACTCTTAGGGTTATGTTATTTACCTTCTCAGTATCTAAAACAAATGGGAATTTAAAGTTGTGATTCTCTATTTGATGTTTTTACTGAAAAATAGGCAATGTATAAACCTTTGACATTGTGAATTGTGTGAAAAAATTGAGTAAAAAAGTGGAATACATATATTTTATATCATGAGAACTTGAATAATACAATACTTCCCAAACTAAAAGTTTGGCAGTAACATACAGGTTTCAATAGTTTGCTGCTTGTTCAATCTGTCTTTAATCATCTTTACTAAAAAAAAGGGAAGGAACAAGGTTAGTATCAGACCTTTAATACTATTATTAAACTCTGCATGCAGAGTTTTGATAATCTTGTTCCTCTCTGCAGAGCTGAATGGGAACTTCATTTTGTGGGTGAGGTCCAGTGAGGGGGTGTTTACTGACCATCAGCAGAACAGCACAGTCCACAAGTTAAGAGAATGGTCTACCCACATCTGCCCAGTTGTTGACTGTATGAACTTTGGCTAGTGAGTTAGCCCTTAAGAAGTTAGGGGTGGGAGATCCCATTTCTTTCAAGGCTAAAATGTGATGTACTGATTGTATCAGTTTTAAAAGTAGAAATGTATGTAGCTCCGTGTAGAGCACTTGCCTAGCATGCTTGAGCCTCAGCACCACAAAAGAAAGGTGGAGGGGGAGAGTAGGGAGGAAACACGCTCAGTACATTACCAGAAAGCGTTCTAAGCATAGTTTTCCTTCCCTTGATGAAGAAATGGTAGGGTTTTTGTTGTTGCTTTGGTTTTTTTGTCTTGGTCTCATTTGATTTGGTATTTGTTTTGTTTTATGATACTGGGAATTGAACCCAGGGCCTTTCACATACTAGGCAAGCGCTCGATCACTGAGCTGCATCCCCTCCCTAGATTTTTTTTTTTTTTCTCCTGTACTGGGATTTGAACTTGGCCTCACACTTGGCTAAGCAGATGCTCTATCACTTGAGCTATAACCCCAAGCACTTTAGAAATGGTGTTTTTAAGCACAAGATTTTCCACTTACTCCTTTAGACAGGTTGAAATATTGGAGAAATGGGACTTTTGTAGTACCAACTACAGAATCATGCTTAGATAGAAAATCCTGTACATGTACAAACACCATCATTGCCTTCTGAGAACTCACCATGAGTTCAAGTACTCAGTGAGTTAATTATATTGAGAAATAAGCATTTGGTGAATTACTTATTTGGAAAGGTAGAAAATGTTCCCACAGGTGAAAAGCACAGAAGACGTGAAAACCAAGCACAAGTTGTGACCACATCTAGAGGTGCAGAATTACTAGATGCAACTTTTGTAACTTTCCTATATGGTAGACACATTGTCCGACCCCAGAGGAAGATTGAAGTACATCAGTTCAGATTACCATAGCAGTCCACTCTGGATAAAGGACGCAGGTATCCTGGCATTTGTAATTGCTAAGGTTATCTTGGAGTTTCGAAGGGCTTGGGTGGTACTTTGATTCTGCTGGTTGTTTTCATTCCCTCTTTGAGGGTTCCTGAGCACCAGTTCTCTAAAGATCAACTCTAGTTTTTATTCTATGTATGTATACCGCTGTTTTTCATCTATATCAGATCTATGTATTATGTATCTTGGTTTACTCATAAAATACCTTGTGTAGTGGGTTAAATTTAAAAATTTGTCTTACTGATCAGATTTGTTTTTAATTGGCTTTGTTGTTTAAGGACCTACCACCATCTAAAAGGATGGGGAAGTAAGAAAAGCGCACTTTCCAGTCATGTAGATGAGTTTTATCTGGCTTCAGCTTCCTTTTATTTTTATACTCTTTGAGAAGTTGCTTTTGATTGTCTGAACCTTAAGAGGTAGTTTTGGTTTGGGTTTTGTAGTGTTGGTGATCGGCCAGGGCCTCGTGCATGCTAGGCAGGCAGAGTACCACCAAGTTCCATCTCCATCCTGAACTTAAGTAAGATTCCTTTATGTAAAAGAAGATGATAATGCTGATTGTGAGAGAATTATGTGAAAGAATTATGGGCCTGGTGTGTCAGATGTACTCAGTAAATGTGCTTTCTTTTTTTCTAATTCTTATCACTATAGCCTGGAATTTAAAAAAAAAAAAAACAAGCGAACAAAAAAACACTTCATTTTTATCATATTTTGTGGAAAAGTTTGAAAACAAAAAGATAAGTATAGTGAAAAAATTATGTTACCCTTGTATATGTAATATATGTCCCTGCTGCACAGTGAGTGCATAGTGAATTAAAGCTATGGCTAATGTTCGGAAAGCACTCATTTACAGAAAAGGAATCTAAAAAAAAAAGCAAGAGAAACTTGTTGAATCTTGTTCTACTGCCTAGAATTCATTCTAATTATTGTTGTTTTCTGGGCTCTTTTGGGTTTTTCCCCCTTTGTTTTTATAATCTTTGGTTGAGTATGTTTGTGGCCCTCTGAAGCATTCTTATGTGAATTTTGTCCATTCTTTATTCTTTGTTTGTTAACGTGGTGTTTTTATTTCTAAACATGGATAACTTTCTTAACATGCTGTAGAAGATGCAGAACTCCAAAGTAAAAAGCAAGATTTTATCACAAGAAGTCATCCCCAGAAAGTAACCATTTAGATAACTC